TGCGCGCAGTAGGCTCTTATGGTGGTCAAACCATTCAACGTTGCATTTAAGTGAGTAAATACTGGAGATCGAGCTGCAGAAATATTTCTGGTTTATTAAAGGTAGATCTTCGAATATCGCCGATCATTTAAATGTCTCGCAGAAACATATACTTACTCATTCCCTCCATCCTTTTAATGTTTTTGCTAGTTTTCAAAAATACTTTTCTTATCCAATAAAAGACAGCACCCAAAAATACTATCGGGATTAAGAACAGAGGATTGACTACACAAGAGACTGTCAAAGACCCAACCATCAACATGCATATTTGACCAGCATCCAGTATAGCCTTTGGCAGTAATTCATCAATGGCTCCCATGTCTTTGGAAAATCTATTTAAAATACGACCACTAGGATTCGTATCGAAGAACCTCATGCTCGTCCTAATCAAGGCACTGAACGCCATGTCGTGCAATTTTTGACTGCATAATATGCACACTTTGTAGAAAGTCAACGACCTTGTAATAGCGATACAAAATAATCCAACAACAATTGCGGTGTAAACGTATATATAATTGTACATGGAGGAAACATCCAAATTCTCAGTTGAGGTATCATTGGTATTGTTTAGCTTAGCTTCTGTAATGTAATAATGCCGCATTTCTTCTACGCTTACTCTGAAAATATTTTCAGTCTATTAATCTTTATAGTCATTCGCAAAACTGTGTTTCAAGAAAGATACTCACAAAATAGGAACAAAATAATCGTTGAGACTAGCCATAAACTGTGTACACACAAATAATAAGAGCAGTACAAGAGCTAAGCACAAGTTAGCGCCGGTTTGAAAGTACTTGACGAATATTGGTCCTTTAACTACGCCACGCGAGGTTCCTTCTAAACCATCATTAAGTTTTTGAGACTGTTCATCTTCTTCCTCATCGTCTGTTCCTCCGCTACTTGCTTCAGGAGTTCGACTCTACGAGAATAAATCTATTAATGTCTACGCACGAAAGTACGCGGGCGTAACAGGAATAAAATAATCTTACTCTAGTACTTGACGTGGAAAATTGTCTTTTCATACTACTCTTCTCCAAAGAGCTATCATCGGAAGATTCTGATTCGGCCGCTAATAATTCAGCGTACTCTGGTCGCTGATTCAATAAATCTTGAAAATGAGAAAATACGGTGACCTTTCCTTGCTGTATAAGTATAATGGTATCTACATTTTTCACGTACTGCAACTGGTGAGTGGCCAAAATTCGTGTTTTCCCTGCCAAGTATCGTTGCATACATTCTTCAAATAAATGTTTACTCACATGAGTATCAACCTAGAATTTATAGAATAATATAATACAAGCCTTATAAGCAGTTAAGTTATTCTAAAGCATTCTTTTTAAGATACTCACAGCAC